CTCCTCGAGTAAAAATTATTGACCCTAATTTTTTTGGTAGTGTTTGATTTAATACTGTTATTATTTTATCACCAGAGCAAAGATAAGTATTAAAATTAATACTTTTTAACTTTGTGCAACTATTTAGTACTTCCATTAATTCCTGGTCTAATTCATTATCATAAAATATAGATAAATCTTCTAAATTTTTACAACGTTGTGCAATTGATTGAAACAGTCTCCTTGGAACTTTGATATATTTTTTGTTACAAGATTTATTACTATTAACATACAGATGTTTAAGAGTTCCTCCATTGGTATTAATAAAATTGCGCAAGGTTGGCATGGATAATTGACATATATTATGTAACCTCAGAGATTCAATATATGGCAGTGAAGTATTTTTCAAATTTTTTAGTCCATTATCAACAGTTGTTAATGATAAAGCCTTTAAATTTTTAAATGATGTTATTAATGAATTGTCTGAATTTTTTTTTTTACTAGTAGATTCATAAAGGGTTATTGATTGTGAATGTGTTAATATTGCTTCTTTCAATTCATCTGGTAAAATATTTTCATCTGATAAATTACATGTTTCAATTACTAAATATTTAATTTGCTTTTGTGCCTTAATTAGCTGTGCTAAACTATGACGATTTTTATTTTTATCATTACCATAAAATATTTTTAATGATTGAATATTTTTACAAATCTTTGTTAATTCATCAAACAACTCACCACTCAAAACAAAATTATCACAATGTAATTCATAAAGATTCTGAAAGATATTATCAAATCTATGATGATTAATTAACAAATTATGATCTATACATCTAGAACTAAGCTCTCTAATACCTGTTGAATGATCTAAAATAAATTTTATTAATCTATTTTGTAAAATTTGTGCAGAGGTTAGTTCAAAAATATTAAAGTTTTTTATCAGCCATCCAAAATCAATACAATAATTGGAAAAAACAATTCTAGTACAAAATTTAGCGTAATTATGTAATGGTGGTTTCTCCAATAGTTCAAAATTTAATTCAATGCCATTTGTAGTCAAGAAATCCTTATCTTCTTCTTTCAATAAACAATTAATTAATATTTTGATTTTGACGCTGTTTACAACCAATGAATTTCTCCATAAAGTTGGAATATTAATATTGTACCATTGTTTGTTGACAAGAATACAAGAATATAATGTTTTATAGTCATCATCTTCAATGTATTTGAATGTTTCAGTTAGGAGTTCAGGTGGAAAATCAAGCATTTTTTTTAGTATTTGGTAGAAAATGGCTTGTTTGTTGTACAATAATAAATGATTATTTTAAAAAGGATTTTACTGTTTCACAAAAATCAAAATAGCCATAGAAAAATGAAAATATTTATTATATTTGCTCACTCTGACATTTTCTATCTGAAGATGATGTAATGATAATACTTTTATTAATTCCTCTCATACCAACTATTACATACTTTGGACCACAATTGACATTTTCACACTATCATGGTAACAGATAGCAAATTATCAATTTCTCTAAGCATATGAAATTATTGATTATTATTACAAATATTTTTCCTTATTGTTTTTAACATTTGAGATGTGGATGTATATTGTGTGCACATTACATGTATAAATAAAAAAAAAGTCACTAGTCTACTTTTCATTGGCACTTTTTCATTGTTGGTACTGGTCTCTTCATCACTAACAGTTAAATTGTTCAGGAAAGGATGCTTTCATTATCTTTTTTGGCTTTCAGATGATGGTGAAATAGGGAGATCATATATTAACAAGTTAAAGAAACATTCAAAATTGTATGTTGGATGATGGCAACCTTGAAAAAATAAATATTATTAATATATAATTTTAACACAGAAAAATTAAAGATAAAATTTCTTTATGTTTATTTCATCACATTCTCTTGCAAGTCAAAGAAATTTTATTTTTTATAATATTTTAGAATTATCATAATTAAACACTTTTGAACCACTGACTCCTAATTTAGTAACAAACATCCTGACTTCTTCACTCTGTATATGATGGACCCGTGGTAGACCTATCTCCTGTTACTACATTATTTATAAAAGATATTGTGAAGTAAAATGTTGTGCGTGAATTTGGAATCGAAATTCACACGCATGAAATTCAAATTAGCCAATCAGAAATTTGTATTCAAACACCAAAATTTAATCAATATTATATAGTATTAGTATTAGTATTACACGTCTAAACTCGATAAGTCGGACGCAGAAATCAATTGTTTAAAGTACTTTATAATATAAATAAATGTCCAACTTATCGAGTTTAGATGTGTAGTATTATTAATTAACGCAAATTTGATTTTCACTAGTAAGTATTTTTTGTATATATACAGTATATATGATTAAAATTTTGGCTAATTTGAATTTCGTGTATGTCAATTTGCAAATTTACATAAATTTCATTTTAATAAATAATAACAACTCTTTTTAAGAACAAAATATACAAAATATCAAAAATACACGTGCTGCAATTTTATTGGTGGTTGAGGAAGCAAATTTAGAAATAATGAAACTGGTTGAAGAGAAGTATTACATTTTGCGAAGTTATTGATCTGTTTTTTTATTATATAACATATAAAAATATACAGCAAAGATGAACAAATTGTTTAGAATTTTCTTTTTTCTTTTTTTCGTTTTTTCCAATTATCATTTCTGTGTAATAATAATTAGCTCCTAAAATGTAACGGACCTTTAGTTCTCAGATTAAATTTAAACAAAGGAATTTAAATAACTTGAAGGTAATTCTACACGGAAGGTTCAAATAATGTTTAAGGAATACATTTAGTTACAGAGGGCTATGTGATAAAACCTTTAACATGTATAGATAATGACATAATTTTCTTAACTTCATATATTATCTTTATCATTATCCTTTATCTTAATAATAATATCTCAACATAATAAATAATAAACATAACAATGAAATATATTTTAACCAAAACTCTCGTTGGCAGAAGAATCAATTCTTTTGGTAAACCCATCCAAGTATTTAATTAATTACTACCTTATCAGGGGGATGCCTTTGTTAAGTATAGTTGTATATATTTATTTCTTTTTCTTTTATTCAGAGTTGTAGCCTAAGATCTGTGGGAGGGTAATTGTATTTAGATCGGAGCCTAACATTAGAGATAACTTAGTTCGGAGTCTAAGAATAGTAAAAATCCTAACTAGGTAGGGCCAGCCAAATATATAAGAGTAAAGCCCAACGAACCAAAGCCAAGAATAAAGGTAAAGCCCAACATACTGAGGAGATATTAAATATATATTGAAATGTTCCCAACTCATGCAGATAACAAAGGACTGCTGAGAAATCATGATTGGGGGTTGAGCCATTCCCAGGATTAATAATCAAAGAGCTATTAATAAATAGTGATTATAAAAGCAATTATTATTGAGATTAGGTATTGATTCCACGTTGAACCAATTTCTTAATAAATGTTCTAGTCTTGGGGCAATTCTTGTTATTATTATTCGTTTAATAAAGCAAAAATACTGATCGGCTGTTAATGTTACCTGGATTGATTTCAATAATAATAGAACAAGCTTTTAAACAAAAACATAACAGTGAGTTTCGTGAAATACAGATTAGTATTGTGCAATAATATTTTTGGTGTCCACATCATTATAAATAAAATACATATATATTTGTTCAATATTAGCATTGAATCTCAGAATCATATCATAGACTATTTCATGGTCAGAGGATGCATTGATCGAGTAGTCTAATAAATTACAACAAAAATATATAAATAGACCCGCTACACTTACTCGTGAACCAAAAAATCACGGTGCATTCAAATTAGAGGTATCTATATACTCGTTCGGAGCATCGACATTAGCCAGTCATATTATTATTATAATATCAATATTTTTTATTTTATTTGTTTATTTATTTTTTATTTATTTAAAAAATTATATATACAAACGGAAATTGTTCACGAATTTAATAAATTTTATAAAAGATCCTTTCCAAAGAAGAAACCTAACATAATCAAAAATCATTTACTGTTAAAAACATCAATCAAGTTTTTTTTTCTAATTAAAAAAAAAGATCCTTTTGTCCCTCGTGTTTATTTATTTATCCCAGATTAAATATCAATTGGATCGATTAGATTTTTTTTTTCAAGTTTATCGCTACAGAAGAATAAGCTTTATGCAAACATCAAAAGTCATTTACAAATATCGATTGTTAAAAAAAAATCAACACATTTTTTTTTTCTTAATCATTTCATTAATCAACGAATTTTATTTCAAAAGAAAATCATATCATCCACTATCCCTCAAATGGTCAAAATTAAAAAAAGATTCGTTTGTTTTCTCCGAAAGGAAATTAAAAATTTTTCTTTTTCAAATGGTCAAATCAAAAAAATTTGCACATATTGTTTGTTTTATCGATTATTAATTAAATTGACAACAAAATAAACCGTTTTTTGAATTCCGGTCTCGTGACCAGAAAATATTACTAACACGTTGTGTGACGATCTATGGTAAAGAGGTAAAGACAAGACCATCAGTTTTTGTCATTTTGGACGGTCCGAAACGTCAGAACAAGACGAAAGCCTAATGGTAGACATTGCGCAAAAAACATCTAAAGCAAAACACAATTTTCCTTTTAGTAAGTATCTGACGTTTTGAACCAAAACAGATAAGTTTTTCTGTTGCACAAAACACGACAAATAGATAGCAATTGGGATTCTTATGATACAGCGACATAAAAATAACCACAACCATTTATCATTTTTGGAAAACGAAATATTTAAATTTCAATTTTGCAAATCATTTCAAGCCAACGCAGCAAA